TTGATTTGAGAGTTTATCAGTTTTTCTAGAACCTTGACTAAAATGCAGAGTTTAGAGATTGGTCGATAGTTGTTCAGTGAGGTGGGGTCACCTAATTTAATTCCTCACCACATTTGATGAATCCAGCAGTTTTTTTTTTTCAGAAAATCCTTTGAAATGGTTTCAGATCTCATGCAGATATTTTTTATTGTGCACTTGGCTCAATTTTTACCTTCCAACTATAATTTAAAATGTGACAAAGCAATACATAAAAAGCTCTCTTTTGAAGAAAATTAACAATTATCTTTGTTAACGTTGCCGTCTCAGGACACTTTGCTAACTGGAGCTCAGGTTTGATGTGAAGCATCACTGCTCGTGTGCTTTAATGAGAACTTTAATCAGATTTTCATCTTCACAGTCTTCCAGTTGGCTTTTTTCTGGCAGCATACCTGATCTGTGCTCACTCAGTTTCTGATATTTCACTCTGTCCCTCAATCCACTGGATCTGCTGTACCAATTATTTTGGTTTACCTATGTCTGTCTCTTTGTGTCTGTCTTTGTTTCTTTTGGAGCAGGAATGGTGGTGGACGAAGCGGTACCTTTTGTGCATGTACCATGATCCTGGAAATGATTCGCCATCACAGTTTGGTGGACGTGTTCTTCTCTGCCAAAACACTGCGCAACTCGAAGCCAAACATGGTGGAGACGATGGTGAGCCATAAAGAGGCTTCATGTGTCTTTCCAGCAACAGGCTGGGTCGTGGATGCTAACACAAAGTGTCCAAAAGCCAGAAAACTTGAAGGAATTTATTTCAAATGTCTTGCTGTAAATTTACATAGTTTGTTTTAAATATGTGGTGAGATCAGAAAATGAATTTTGTGTCATGTTACCAATGCACTCAGTGATTAATTTTTTATCACCCTTTCATGAAAGGGTTTGCATATCTCCCAAAATATTAAAAGAAAAGTCATTAACTTTCTCTGAAAATATCAAACCTAGAGAATTTCTATACATTTTGTAAACTTAAATTATAAATAACAACTAGTGAATAACATTTTTTTTCCTCATATTCAGAAACATGCAACAAACACCATTTTTTCTTTTCAGTAGATTATCCATCCATCCATTATCTTTTACCCGCTTCTTTCATTTTGGGTCACCTGGTCGCCAGTGCCCATGTCCAGCAATCACTGTGCGCGGGGCGGGGTACACCCTGGACGGGTCGCAAGTCCATCACAGAGTTTCAATAGATTAATTAAACAAAATTAAATGAATAAATTGGAGCCTTAAAGGTTAATGGATTATACAGTAGGCCCTTGTTTATTGTGGGGGTTACGTTCCGGACCACACCCCCACTCCCCCCAGGCAATAAGTGTAAAACCATGAAGTAGGAACGCTATATTTATTTTAGTATTTATATATACAGTATTTTAAGGCTGTATAAACCCTTCCAACACTCTTTCAATGTTATTAACTCTTAAACCTATGCAATTTTAACAACATATGTGTATGTACTGTACAGTAGCTATGTATTGCAAAATTTTATATGGGTACTAAGCCTTAGTTGGTCCGGTTCTGGTCCAGTTCTCATCGACTTTCTGCAGCCCTTGAGCACCAAGAAGCTTTTAGAGAGAGCTGGACCTTCAGATAGCCAGCACAAAGCCACACAATGGTCCAGATCAAGCCCAAATCTGTGTGAAAAAAAATCCTCTGTGAGCTCTGGAGAAAACACCGGACCTCCAAGTGACGCCTCCCCACTCGAGGGGCCTCATGGGCCGCAAGCAGCACTCAGATTGATCGATGAAGCTTGAGGTCTGGTTCTGGTCCAATTCCCGGTCAGCTCTGTACAGCTCTCTGCATCCACTGAGCGCCGAAGTGGATGCAGTGAATAAGTGAATAATGACCACATTTTTTCAGATCGGATCAAAACTTTCCCTCATTTCAGCAGAAAGCATTGGCTGAAAGCACTGTTGGGACTTCTGGGTAATGTAGTCCTTTTGAGTGGCGATACAGTGTAGGCTTATTGAGAGAAAACTACAAAATGGCGGCGCCTGTCTGAAGTTTTTTATAGTTAACTTTTTACTGTATCCCATACTGTCCCAATAATGTGAGTAATATCAAAGTTGACAATTGTGTGTCGTGTACAATCTTTTTTTTTCTTTTTGTCGTGTCCAATCTTACTTTGAAAAACCGTGAAAGAGCGGGTCCGCAAAAGTCAAACCTCGAGGTAGCGAGGGACTACCGTAAACCATTTGGCAACCATAAGGCACCAGTAGGAGGTGCTTTGGTTGCATCTTGCAACTTCAACAATTTCCTGCAGGATCAATAAAGTTCTATCTTATCTTACCTGATCTTATCTTCAGTAAAAGTGTTAAGAAAGATGGATAACTGTGTGACAGTTTTAAAGTTGCGTACCTGGAGTTTCAACAGCCCTGTTTGAATTACAAAGAAATAAACAAAGCAGTTAGTTCCAAAATGGTGAAAACAGTCACTCGTTTGGACTGAGGATGAGGTTCGGCTGCTGCTGCATGTTGACAAGGGAGAGCAGCACTAAGAGCAGCTGGCCATCAGCTGTTGCTTACTGTTAACACTGCTGCTCATGCAAGTGCAGAAAAACCATTGACTGTAGCTGCGGGTAGAGCGCACAGCAATTTCACACTGAGGCGGAGTCCCCAAAGCCTCAGCTCTGAGTCCTGGATACAGAAATGATTGGTTTCCAAGGAAACGCGTGCTTTTGGCGTGTACAGGGGAACAAAGATTTTAAAAAATAATTTCAGCTCAGGGGTGATTTTAGGATCTGACCTTTAGTGGTGCTTATCCCCCAATACTGCTCTGGGCTTGAACAATGCAAACCCCATGGTGTGGTTTGTGAGAAGTGCAAAAGCTTACGGCACCTGGGAGAAAGTCGCCCATCCAAGTACCAACCAGCCCCAACTCTGCTTAGCTTCTGAAATCGTATGAGATCAGACATGTTCAGGGGGTACGGCCATAAACAAGGAACTCAGTCTCAAATGGGACTTTTAAAGGATCATAGCAAACAAAGACATGCAACCAGAAGTTGCAACATATATCTACATTTATAACACACAAAACAAAGTTTTAAGCATTAACCTTTAATTTAACTATTAACCCAGGGGTGCCATAACCTTTTCCCTGAAAGGGCAAATTTTAAAATCTATCAGAGGGCTGTAGGCCAAAATGCAATAATACATGAAATGCAAATAATTCTTTAAGTAAAGTCAGTTTATTTATTATACAGGTATTTAACCTTCCATTATGTATAAAGAACACTACAGAACAGACTGTGTTGGTGGTGGGGGCAGGGGGTCTGAGGGTGCTTCCCCAGATGATTTTGATTAAAGTAGATGCCATTTCAAGGATTCAAGGTTCTTTGTCATTCGCACCCCATGTGGTACATGTGGTGGAACGAAATTATGTACACAGGGTCCCAGTTACATCCAACAATAAATGACTATCATCATTTATTCCATATTTATTTCAAATGTATTGGTGTATATTACAGTAGATTAACATGAAACAAAAGATGTAAACTCTGTTATTCTTGAAATCTCTCTGTGTCACAAAACCAGGCTTTTGGATTCAGAATGACAAAGACACAAGAGTAAAAAAAAAAGATTATCTAACAAATTATCTACTTTACTGTGTAATCCGTGGAGTTAAATTGTGGTAGTCAGGCCGACCAACAATAAAGTCAATGGGTGGAGTCAATGAGTGTAAACGCATTGATTCTTCAAAGGAAATTTTAATATAGTAATGAGGACAGCTTGGTGGGCCAACGTTGGCCTGTGGGCCCCACTTTGGGCACCCCTGCATTAACCTCTGACTGCTAAGAGTTCATAAGGCAAAACCCCGACAACTATGTCGGGAGGAAAATGGGGTGTAACTCCTGCAGGTAGGGGGCATTTACCTTTGAGACAAACTGAGGTCGATGATTAGTCACTTGCTGACAAGCGTACTGGATGATTGACAAGTGGTGTTGAGGATCTGACTCATGCAAAAAATCATAGATTTTACTGGTCCGTTTAAGACTGTCATCATTTATTCCATATTTATTTCAAATGTATTAAATATTTTGATGAATCTAAGATTTGAGAACTAAGCTTCCTCACAAAATCGTTAAAAAAAAGATAGTGTCTTAATTTTTCAGGGGTGCTGAGTTAAAATTTAGGGGTGTTTGAGCACCCACAGAAAGGGGCTAAAATCACCTCTGGTTCAGCTGCTGATATGTTAGAGATTTTTTAACAAAAATCCCTGGGAATATTCTGAAAATAAAATTTTGTTCAGTTTTTTTTTTTTTTTTCAGACAAATTTTTTACGATTATGGAATTCAATCCAAATCACTATTACTCCAAAACTGATAGCAAATGTAAAGGTTTAGATAAAAGCATTTGCATGAGCCCTCGGAGAATATTTGTCTTTGTTTGTTCAGATTGGCTGTGAGCTTGTCAGTCCATTAAAATTAAACTGTTTCTACAAACATTGCTCATTCAACAAGCTATCTACAACAGGTAAGATATTAAATGTTCATAAGTTTTCCACAGAACCCTGTTATACTAGATCTGAACTGATGCTTTGGGCACAAATCTCTCACCAGCACTGAATATTGTGCAACACCTCAATGTTGATCCGTCAAAGTAGAAACAGTAACTTGTGAGAGCAGTTTCAAAATTAAACTGGGAGATGAAAACTGGATACTGCATAACTAATGACTCCTGCTTTTTACACTTAGTCTGTTGTCACAAAACAAACTCTGCTTTCAGAGGAAATGAGTAATGTGAATAGAAACCTAAAACTTGATTTGTTGTGTATTTGTTCAGCCTAAATTGAGGCAGGAAGTGGTTTTGGCTCCATCACTTTTTCATAAGGACAAAAATCTGATGTGATGATAAAAACTGTTAGTAAAGTTTACTCTGACACAAGCTTGGTTACTGTGGCTTCAGTTGGTTAAGAGAACAATCAAGAGCAGCGTAATGAGAGCAAATCTTAAAAGGTAAAAACAAAATAACAGCTGGCCCGATTTTCACTGCTTCACTGAATGGCACACAGTAGTCCCTCAATACTTCGCGGTTCGACTTTCGTAGACTTGCTCTTTCGCGGTTTTTCAAAATAAGATTGGACATGACACACAGTTGTCTGACTGATGGATCCAGGGGCCTTTCTGGGTGGAGTTTGCATGTTCTCTCCGTGCATGCGTGGGTTTTCTCCAGGTACTCAGGTTTCCTCTCACAGACCGAAAAACATGCATGTTAGGCTGATTGGTAACTCTAAAATTGTCCCTAGGTGTGAGTGAGAGAGAGAATGTTTGTTTGTCTCGATTGTCTCTATGTGGCCCTGTGATGGACTTGCGAGCTGCCCAGGGTGTCCCCCGCCCCTCGCACAGTGATTGCTGGACATGGGCACCGGCGACCCCCGTGACCCAAAATGGAATAAGCGGGTAAAGAAAATGGATGGATGGATGGATGGATTTTAAAAACCACAAGGGTAGTCAAAGTGCTGCACAATAAAACAATAAAAACAAACAAAACAATAAAAACATACAAAGCATACACAAAGAAACATAAAAACCATTCACATACCAGTTTCACAGCAGGTGTATTAAAAAGCCATAAAAGATAAGATCACGTGTTAAAAGCCAAAGAATAAAAGTGTGTCTTTAAAAGAGATTTAAAAACAGGAAGAGAGGAGGCCTGTCTCACACTCAAGGGTAAAGTGTTCCACAACCTGGGAGCAACAACAGCAAACGCTCTGTCACCTCTGAACTTCAGCCTAGTTTTAGGGACTGTCAGCAGCAGCTGATCAGCTGATCGTAGGGATCGGGGTGGACAGTAAGGCTGAAGCAGCTCAGACAGATATGGTGGGGCAAGGTTGTTCAGACATTTAAAAACAAACAGCAAAAGCTTAAAATTAATTCTGTAGTGCACAGGGAGCCAATGAAGGGACGCCAGGATGGGAGTAATATGCTCGCGCCTACGAGCCTGAGTTATATATATATACATACACTAAAATAAACTACTACTTCCTAATTGTACTACTATTCCTACTTTGAGGTTTTTCACTTATTGCGGAGGTGGGGGCTGGGAACAGAACTCCCACAATAAACGAGGAACTACTGTACATAAATTCAAGGAATAAATTGACCTGTTCCTTATTTTCTCCAACAGCCTGACTTTTAGCATTCTAAAAAAAGATGTTTGTGTTTCACAGGATGTTAAACTACTTATTTTGAAGTAAACTACAGTGTTAAAGACACCCTGAATGTACTTGGAACTAATTTGTTGTTCTGTTCCCAGGAGCAGTACCGGTTCTGCTATGAGCTGGCCCAGGAGTACCTGGATTGTTTGGAAGTCAGATAGCGCCAATCCCTTTCGTTGTGTTCTTCGCCAGTGGTCCGATCTGGGTTCTAAATCCTGTATCTTTGCTCCTGCCTCCTAAGCTCTTAGGTAGAGCTATGGTTGTAAACTTCACCATGCCTGGATGGAACTTTATCTTTTCAGAACGCTGACTGGAAAACTATTTCTTGGAAAGCTTGTAACATAACTGACAACCCCCTTCCTGCTTCTCCCCAACTCTCTGGTCCAAGCCTTACTCCTTTGTGCCGCGTTTCATCTGCCAAACCCAAGGACTCCAACAAGAGTGGAGTTTCTTTTAATAACTGTCAAGGCGGTCTGACTGCAGGTTGCACACCTCACCAACAGGATTTAATGAGCTCCTCTACCTTGCCTTACTATGAACATACACTGTAAAGGAACTACAGTTGATGACTTTCACTGGATGAGTTTGCGTGTTTGTAACACTGTAAAATGTGCAATCTGCTGTTGGTGAACATCCATTGTTGTACTGTACTGTATTAGAACTTTTTGTGGATGGTGCTGACAACTGGAGATTATTTAAGAGAAAAGACATGTCAGTCTTACATCTGATGGACTTTTATGTACAGTTGATTGGTCTCTGCTTAATTTTTCTTTATTTAATTGTATCTATAGATGTTTTTCCCCTTCTCTTGAGTGTTTCTAGATTATCCTAATGTCCCGGTCAATGTGTCATTCACTCGCTGTGTTCGTAAGGTTCGAGTTCAGCATCTGCATGCTCAGTCTTAAGTGTTTCATTGCATTATATGACTTTAGTCTGCTTCTTGGTGGGTTCTGCACCATGAATCCTGTCACTGAACCTGAGAAATCCATGAAATACCCACTTGTTGCTGTGAGTACAGTAAAAAAGAGAAAAACATGTTGCTTTCTAAATTTGTATTTATTAAGTGTGTGATATTTTCTAATTGGTGTACAAAAGCAAAAAAATGGGATAAATAAATAAAATATGCTCTTACGTAACAGCCATAATTATTGAGACCTTTGTGTGATGCAAGAGAAGGTCAACAAGTGTAGAAGCTGACTGCTTTATTTTCAATTCATTTCATTTTTTGCAGTGTAAATCAATGTAAAATCTCTGAGAGGATTTTTTGTTTTGTTTTTGTCATGAGATAATGAGATATATTTCAATCAGTTTCATATTTAGTGAAGTTGCAACAATAAAAGCAGTTCGGGGATAAAATGAGATTATTAGGTAATTTAATTTTATATAAGAACTCAATTTCATTGGATGATGACCTGCATTTTTTTTTACTGACTATTATTTAACCAGGCAAATCCAGCTGAGATCACAGAATTACTTTGCAAGGGAGTCCTGAGCCTGAGGGCAGCCTAATATTCATTTTTATTGTATGTGGTACTCATCTGTCTACCCTTTTCACCACCACTGCTGGGGCTCCACAGAAGGAAACTGGAGTACCCCAAGAAAACGCAGACAAACATGAGGACAACATGCAAACTACACACAAAGACTCCAGTCCAACCCAAAGACTGAACCCAGGACCTTCTTGTCATGAGGAAACAGTGCTAACTAAGCAGTCATGCAGTCCATGACCTGTATAAACTATTAGAATATGACGGAATCAAGCATGAAAAAAGTCCAGATAGAACAAGTTTTCATTGTCTGAAGGCCAGTGAGAAGAACTGGGTTTTTAACAGCCTTTCTAAGTTACCGTAAATATGTATCAGTCTTGACTGACTGACTGCTTTAAAAATAAATCTGATGACTTATCCACCACTGAGCTCTCATGATGGAAAGGGGAGGGGGGAATACCCCTCCTATTGTTCTCCGCTTTGTGTTCAGATGTGAGTTTAACATGAGATACTGGTATTTAAACGCATATTTATCGACATAGAAAGATGTCACACAGGAATGATTTTATAACTTATTAAAACATGTACCAGACTTGACTGCTTTGCATCTCCAATGCCCGTCCATCGACACGTTGATGCAGTTTACGGCTGTAGCTGTTTCCTTCTCGACAGAAGACGAGCGCTTTTAACAATGAAAGCTGCGTCATAAGAAATTCTCCGTGCGTTTTCCATTATCGCTGAACAAATGAACAGGTCTGTGCATGGAGCGCAAAATCCGGTAACAACACGGGGACGATCTGAAGAAATTAATTCACATCTATCTTGGGGTTCCGGAGAAGACCTCGTTGGTCATTCAGGTTAGACTTCTGGCCACATGATGACAAAGTGGGTGGAGTTATGGTTGGGTATTTGAAACTGTGTTCAAAAGGCCTGTACGTCTGATAACCTGAAGGCATTCTCTCTATGTCACAAACACCTGCCCCCATGAGGGGTGGGGCACTGGGAGCCACAAGCACCCATCTCTGTCAAAGGAAAATGTTAGTCACTGACAGGAAGCTGCTGAGAGAAAGCAGGAAGTCTCTCAAAATAAATTAAACATATAAATTTTGAAAAATATGAAAAAAAATGAAATGACTAAGATAATCCTGCATATAAACCACAGGGTACAAAGTGTGAGAAAAAAGTAGCAGCTTGTACACCAGCAATTACAGCAACTTACATCAGTGTAGACTTTCTGTAGAGAGGTGTTCTGTAAAACAGGAGCAGCAACTGCAAAAGTGCAAAAACCTCAATTTTTTTTAAATTAGATCTTGAAACAACAAACATCTGGTGAAAAAAACTTGTGCTTTAAAAGTTGCTGATGGTAGAGTCAGACCAACAAGAGCTTTAAAAGCTACTAGTATTTTTTTTTAAACCAATCCTAGAGACCAGTGAAATGAAACCCAAACTGATGTTACAAGTTCACGTTTTCTTGATCTTGTACATTTTATACAAATATAATATGCAGACACTGAAGAGAGGACTGATTTATGTCCCTTGTATGTAGAGTTACACTAATCTAAAAGTGTTGCAATAAATGCATAAAACATCCATCCATCCATTATCTTTTACCCACTTCTTCTTTTTTGGATCGCGAGGTTCACTGGTGCCCATGTTCAGCCATCACTGTTCAAGAGGTGGGGTACACCCTGGACCCTTAGGATTTTAGGAATGCAGCGGCCAGGAAAAGGCAAAAAGGAAGTCCAAAGAGAAGCTAAGCTATATTCTGAAAATTGTTGTAGCACAGTTAGCTTCTTTGTTCTCTTGGATATACTGTATAAAAAAAAATCTATTCAAGAGTGTCATGTTCCCCACTGTAGGAAAAGCACTATCATTGTCCAGCTAAAGGAGGTTAAGGTCACTTGTCTGAATGACTACTGAACTATTGCCCTCATGTCTGTAGCCATGAAGTGTTTGAAAAACTGATTTAGTCTTTCCTCATAACCACTGACCAACATCTGGTCCCTTTACAGTTCACATACAAGTGAAACCGCTCTGTGAATAATGCTGTGAATCTCAGTCTTCATCATCTTCTGGAGCACCTAGACAGGAATACCTGCAATGCTAAAGTGTCATTTTTTAGACTTCAGTTCTGCCTTCAATACAGTCATCCTGTTACATCTGCAGACAAAACTTTATCTGCTACAAGTTCATCTCACCATCCGCAAACTAATTACAACTTGTCTGACGAGCAGGTCTCAACAGTTGGGTGTGTGGTACTCACCTGTCTACCCTTTTCACCACCACCGCTGGGGCTCCACAGGGATGTGTACTCTCTTTGTATCTCAAGGTTCAAGGTTCTTTATTGTCATTCACATCACGTGGTGCAAGAGGTAGAATGAAATTGTGTACTCAAAGTCCCAGGTACACCCAGCAAAAATATAAAGTATAAAAAGAAAGGATTTAGGATATACTCTAAACAATAATAATACAGTGTAGTGAGTCACGTGAGGTACGTGTCACTTGTTGTATGACAAATATATGGATATATATTTATGCATACTTTTCACGAGTTCTTCATCTTTCTGACTGTGTAATGCCGTGCATTGAATTTAAAGGAATGCGAACAAGAGACGTTATTACCTTTGACCCATCAAATGAATGGAATCATTTATTTTCAGAATCAAAGTTTAACATCAAACATTTACATTAATTTGGCAAAATATGAAAATAATAACAGACAGTTTCACAAATAATGAACTTCAAATCACTCGGCGGTGATTTGAGGACTTTGCTTCAGATATTTCTAAAAATATCTGCACTGATTTATGAGAGAGAGGTGAGTTTAAGAGTAAATTGAGATTTATCTTACAGAGGAAATATGTGAGGGAAGTTTAATCTGTTTAACCAGAAATTGCACGCTCCGTCCGATCTCAGCTTCTCACGGTACACTTGGTCAAAATAGAACCATCTACCTGTTGATGATGAATCAGCGTCGGAGTAGTTCCTTTCTGACTCGTTTCAGCGTCTCCGTCGAGAACTACCAAACCTTCAGAGAGTCGTGCGTAGTTAGCTCAAAACAGAATTATAATCCCAAAAACCTCTGGATTCTTCATTGCTCTCTTGGACTCTTCATTGCTCTGAAACTTTCAGAACCGGCTGCACTCTCAATCTAACATGAACTGGGAAGTTGCCACATTTTATTTGGGTCGACTTCCTGTTCAATTTAGAGCTTTCTGATTCGTGGAAGGACCAGAAAGAGGAGTGGTTTTGACGTAAGGTGTTTATCAACAGTCGAGGTCAGAGAATGAAATTTGTTTTCACATACAGAAAAGATTATTGCAGCAACAGCAGACTTCGTGGAGTCAACTCTTGGTAATCTTCTGAAAAAGTTTAAACATGACATTTTTCTCGGTAAACATTTTAGTTGACCGAAAACCAACCTTTCACATACTTACGACTTGACTCATTTCAGACAGAAAATCAAGGAATGCTTATTCAGGTGATTTCTTCTTGGAATGAGGAATAAAAATCATTACTTACTGTTTATGTAAAATAAAGATGAGTAGTTCTTTTCAACCTATAAGCATTGAGTGAACTAACACAATTTGATTATCAAAACATTTGTAAGACAGTAATGATTATAAAGAATTGTCTTTTCTGCTTGATTAATTCAAGAAAGAAAGTCATCAGAT